GGAGGAGGAGGAGGAGGAGGAGGAGGAGATCCCGGCGCTGCAATTTGGTTACGCCGGGCGTGCTCGCCCTGTTCGGGCACCCGGGGCCCTCACAGACGGATCCGGCTCGGGGAGCGATGCGCAGAGAGCTCGTGGGTCCCCGGGGCGCCGAGCTGCACGGGGCGCCGCGGAGGAACGTCGGAACGGAACGGAGTGAAACGTCCGCCTTCGACCTGCACGGGCCGCCGCGATGCGGGCCCCGCCCTCCGCCGCGGCCGCGGCCGCGGCCTCGGCGGCGGCCGCCGCTGCGGCCGCGGCGGCCGCGGCAGCGCGGCACCTGCCGCGCGGCAGGCGCGGAAGGCGCAGGTCGAGGGGCTGGCCCCGCCTGTGTACCGGACCTCGCCATCGTCATCTTTCCCGTCGTCCTCCTCCGTATCGTCCTCTCCTCCTCCTCCTCCTCCTCCTCCTCCTCCTCCTCCTCCTCCTCCTCCGCCCGAGTGTATGAAAAGGGGGGGAGATCGCGCAGAGATTTGCTAGGGCGATTTCTCCGTCCCCTATGGCGTTTTTCCTCCGTCCCCTATGGCTTTTTTCCCTGCCCAGGAACCCGAGCAAACGGTTTTCCGGATAAATCGACCTGCCTCAGGACGACTGACGGGCTTAATTTTTTTCCGATGGGTCGGCCTCCTGGCCAACTATCCCTGGGCTGTCGAGGGCTGGCTGGGCCTTGGTTCAGGCCGACCCCCTAGGCAATGTGGTTGCAGCGTGCTATGGACCCGTTCCGTTCTCCCACGGGCCAAGACAGTCGGCAAAGGCTGGGGAGGACTATGCGGTGCTCATGCTGACTCACTCTGCGATGTCGCCAATTGATTTGTTTTTGTGACTGCCAGAGGACCCTGGATGTCCTGTGGGGTGGCCCTGGGGCTGGTACGTCCGCGGCAGGTCCCAGGGCCCACCTGTGGGCGCCTTTCTGGTCCAGATTCGCTCCAGGGGACTTCTCTGCGACGAAAGCGGCAGCTCACTCCAGAGGAGGAGGAGGAGGAGGAGGAGGAGGAGGAGGAGGAGGAGGAGGAGGAGGAGGAGCGATGTCGGATGTCCACAGCTGCAAAACGACCCTGTGGGAAAAACGTGCGAATGACTCTGCCGACACCTGTGCGAGGATCTGTGCAGCCAAGCACCTTCTTTGTGAGGGCGATGTGAACTTGTACTGAGGTTCCAAGTGTCTTGTTAAGGAGTCGGCAACATGGGCAGAGCCAATCTAGAGGTGCACCTGCAGGACCAGTCCGATCAGCGTGCGGACACGGTGGGGCTCGTCTCTGACGAAAAAGCTGCGCCTGATCCCCATGAGCTGGCATATGTTCCAGAGCCGCCTGAAGTGTTGGGTGGGGGTGACGGGGCTGAGTGCGTCGGGGAGGGTGGGCTCGACTGGGTGGAGTTCGCCACGGCTGCCTTTTTATGTGAACGGTCACGCCCTGATGATTTGTGAGATCGAATCTCCTCAGAGGTCAGGTGTGCCCAGTGTTTTCTGTGTGAAATGTGGTGCCTACTGTGAGGACCTCCGCCGTGGTGGGTTGTTGTTGTTGTTGTTGTTGTTGGTGGTGGTGGTGGTGGTGGTGGTGGTGTTGGTGTTGTTGTTGTTGTTGTTGTTGTTGAACATTATTCCTTCTAAAGAATTATTATTGTTGGGACCCCTGGTGCGCGACCTCTGCGCCGCGCCTAGGCCGCAGCTACATTTTCATCATTTGTTCGCGAAAGCTTCAGAAAAGTGGATGAGCTCCGGATCCGGTTTTTTGTTGACGCTCGTTTTCCCTTGCAAAAAACAATAGAAAATGAAAATTCTTGTTTTTACTTGATCAAATTGCAAGAATCCCTTGCAAAAAAATAAGGTAAAGTGGACATTCGTGCGCGCAAGACGAAATCCTTCCAAAACCTTAGGTTTCGTAACGATTTTAACATAAAAACATCAAAAACCCAATGGTTTTCTCAGAAAAAATTGTCAAAATGTCCTTCCGCGCGCTCTTGCGGATTCCTAGGAAACCCACCAGATTTTAAACATTTCTGTTAAAAGGGCCTTTGCGAGGAACCTTTTCAGGTGCTTCGACCTTCTGCAACAACGGTTGCGAGCCTACGAGGGCCACCATCCCTTGCAAAAAATGACACGAAGTGCACATGCGCGCGGCCGCCGCGCGCGCGTGCCGAAATCCTGCCAAACATAATGTGATTTCAATAATTTCAAGATGCGATGTTCCGAAAACATATGCAAACGCAAGACTTTCTCATCCGAAAAATATCAAAATCCACCCGCGGGCTCTTCATGAATCTTTAAAACCCAAGATGGCCCCAAGAGGCGCTCAAGATGGCCCCAAGAGGCGCCCATGAGGCCGCAAGAGGCGCCCAAGATGGTCCCAAGAGGCCCCAAGAGGACTCCAAGAGGCCCCCAAGAGGTTCCAAAGAGGCTCCAAGTTGGCTCCAAGAGGCCCCCAAGATGGCCCCAGGAGGCGTCCAAGCGGCTCCAAGAGTCCTCCGGGAGGATCCAATAAGCCCCCAAGAGGCCCCAACATGTACTATGTATGTCATGCGCAACAAATGCACCATGCGGGGCACATGCGGGGCCCAAACAAGTGATCAACCTCTGCGGGTGTGTACTCCACGCCAGTGTAGTATCCACGATCGTCCGCGCGCCACGAAGTGAAGTGTCCTGACGTCATAGGGCGGGAAGCTGGGTGTGGGTGGTTCCCGAGGTCGTGTGGATGTTTGGTAGAGCTTGCATTGCCCCCCCACGAAGTGGGGGTATTGGCTGGCGTCGCATGAAAACCCTGGCACTGGGGAGAACACTGAGCGTTCGGGTAAAATGATTGTTGTTGTTGTTGTTGTTGTTGTTGTTGTTGTTGTTGCTGTTGCTGTTGCTGTTGCTGTTGCTGTTGCTGCTGCTGCTGCTGCTGCTGCTGCTGCTGTTGTTGTTGTTGTTGTTGTTGTTGTTGGAGGCTTGCAAGCATAGGCCGAGGTCCCCACATGCCAAGGACGATCTCAAGTGTATTCACGGGGGCAAGCGCCCGCATGGGCGGGCGTCTTCGAAGATCTTGGCCCT